GAGAATGGATATATACGGGTGTAGTTGAGCCATGCTGCCCTGGATGTATACATTCAAATTTAAATATGCACTGAATTAATCTCAGTGTTTTTCTAATGTACAGAATTTAATTTCTAGTTTAGTCTGTATACCTGTAAAGGTTCACATACACTCCCAAATTCTCCCCTCATTGGTCAAGATCATATTATAACACTTTACTTCGTCCTCGGTTAGAAAAATGAATATATACAGATGTGGTGGAGCCATGCTACTCTGGATGTATTCATTTCATACTATCAAACAAACTTTGGAATTTACGATGGGAGTCTCAAAAGGATTACACTGTATCGAAGTCACTTTCATAGAAACTTTCAATAGATCTTTGTTAACAATTTCCAATTGTACTATCAAATACAATCGCCAAAGTCTTAATTTAGTCATTAAGTATTTAGTTTACTAAAGGGGGACATCATGGCATAGTAAATTCGGTAGTTGCGGTTCGTTAGCTAACATAGTAGAAGATCTCTATTGATATTTTGGAATGCTATTTAAAGCGGCAACAATGCCACAAACTTTCAATATATATCCATATGCAAAGCCTGTTTCCTTGTATCAAAATGGTTTTATCCCGTCGTTCGTCAAACTTCAGTAGCATTGAACGAGCGCAGTGTTGAATAGACGTTTGTATACCACATAATTGCGTGCTTATTTGTAAGTTGTGCTTTCAATAAAGTTTTAATGAATAACTATGTAGTTTTGTTAACTTTCAACCTGTTCACATGTCGTACCAGGATCCATCGTTCGTCAGGTCGAATTCTACATAAGTTTGTAAGCATCACGGCACTATCCGCTCGGTTTCTGGTGCCATACGTGCACGAACGCCATCACTTCAGAAATGTGAAGATATAACTAAAATACTGTACACAAGTGTGTGATCCTCTCCAATAGGGTCCCATTGCTTGACTGTACACTAGTTTGGCATGAAATGCATGTGGACCCGGTTTTTTGTAAATATCTCTCCATCCAATGACCCAATCGATCTCAAACTGTGCACGTGGATGTTTTGTCACACAACCTAATCACATTGTAAATCACCGATTGTATGCATTTGTATTAAAGAATCTGTCTATGTAACTGTCAACAAAATAAACAGCAGAACGGAGACTGCTTGAAGAGGGAAGGAGCCAATGACCTGTAACAGCGGCAGTGTTTGGTTATAAAGGTAAATGCACGTGCAGTTCATGATAGTTACCTGTACACTGCACAGTGATAGACCGTTTGGATCATTCACATTGACTACTTCTAGCTGTCATCATGAAAGCTTATTCAGATGATGCTAAACGTTAAATTAGAAATATGTTGAGTTTTTTTTAAAAGAGCAAACGTAGCAAACCGATTTATAAGGTGTCGGATTAAATGAAACGTACAACTTTTGCTCTTGGCATGCAAAAGAACATCGTGCTAAAAATTGTGAAAAATAAACCAATAACAACCAATTAACAAAACCTTGTACAAAAACGTAGGTATCCAAAGTTAGATTCTTTTGACATCAGGGTCATCAGAGATGTCATTCGCCAGCTATATGCTAGAAATGAACACCTCTTCATACCTGTCACGTGCATAGCTGACCTACATTGACGAACGTTGACCTTTGACCAAACACTGCCGCTGTTACAGGTCATTGGCTCCCTCCCTCTGCAAGCAGTTTGCGTTCTGCTGTTTATTTTGTTGACAGTTACATAGACAGATTCTTTAATACAAATGCATACAATCGGTGATTTACAATGTGATTAGGTTGTGTGACAAAACATCCACTTGCACAGTTTGAGATCGATTGGGTCATTGGATGAAGAGATATTTACAAAAAACCGTGTCCACATGCATTTCATGCCAAACTATAGGACACGTGCCTTTAGTCCTTAGTAACCATTACACAACCCCTGTGGTCGACGTACGAACATGATTATGTACACGCAGATTGAAAACCTTTCGTAAATCAGGCTAACTCCGACGTCCAAGAGCCCAGGCGCCAAACCTGTTACAGACAGGTCACCAATTAGCCCAGGGAACCAACTTCACGTCGATGGGCAACATGTGCATGGGTTGTGCATATGCAACGTCTAATAGAAGTTTTAAACGACGGCACCCAATGTGCCTGACCCATGTCATAAACCGCCGTCAGTACGGATATCTATAAATCTATAAATATATATGCACTCTATAGTGCATAGGCCATATATTTGTCGAGTGACGGAGCTATGCTAGCCCGCCATTTCTATTTACAGGTGGGTTTTCTCGCTGGCATAAAGCCAAGGTTGTGTTTCTACTTTCGGTTTAGTGAGATCGTAGTTGTTGACACGGACGTCCAGATATTGCTGTGGAGACTTTCACATCTGTGATATCCTGGTAAGTGTAACAGTTATAATAACACGATTATATTCATAATACATGCCCATGTTATGCTGCACCCACTCATGTTACGTTGTGTTATTGTGAGAATGTATGAACTGTACCTATTCGATCTTGTCATGTACAGTGGCGTAGCTACAGCGTAGCACAAAAAGCACGTGCTCACACTTTAAAATTGACCAAAAAAATGTTGTGATTCAAGATGCTAAAAAATATATAACATTTAATTTGTGTTCATGTTTTCTGTGTGGTTTCTGGTACAATACCGTGGTACCCGAACGCAACTTGCCCCGCGGATCATTTATAGCAATATACATTATGCAATAAGTTATGTCTGGAAACAGGTTGACACTTCAGTCCGAAATCGTTCCTTCTATAGGCGACATTGTTGATCTATTCTTTGAAATTGTTTTACCCCCTTAAGTATTGTATATTTTGTTATGTGCAGAAATGAGGAAGAAATCAGCAACACGTTCATCAGGTCCATTGATTATTACTTCGTTAAACAACCCAAATTGACTGAAACAATCGTTACCTCTTCATGACCACATCTCTCAGGAAATGGGGCAGAGGTTGATAAAAATTGTCCTTAACGGTCGTTTTGAAGCACACTACCTAGTGCCTAGCTCACTGCACAACCTTACTGATGAAATGTAGGGGCATGTTGCGTCAAAGCGACATTGTGCAACTAAAAGTTGAAGTCCGATGTAGGAAATGCCGTTGGCAGGACATAGCCATCGAAGAAAGGCCATCTTATCTGCTAACAACTCTCTACTTTGCCAAGGAGGATCTTTATCCTCACATCCATTGGCCGTGAAAACCTTGGCGACAATGCCAGTGTCCTATGCAACAGGGTGCGGTCTTTCAGCACAATGAGACGCTTTAAGACTTATCTCAGGTCAGCATCTGTTAACTGGCAGGTTGTCTTCACTTGCACTTATTCACGTATATTGTGATTTCGTGGTACACATTGACAAATTAGGTCAATTATGCTTTGAAGCTGAAGTGTTTCGAGTTTTCTTTAAGATGTTTTAGTACTTAACTATTTACAATATGAACTTGGTCAGGGTCTGCTTCAGTTCGATCTGGTAGATTGGAGTGAATTTTTATAGTTTACATGTCTTACCAGGTTATTGATGTTTGTCTTAACTTTGTCTCGTGTTCAGAAGAATGTTTTACTTTGAGTGTGATATACTCTCCCTGATTTCAAAATGTTTCATCATTTGTGCCTGCACTCTGCATTATCCTTGCTATGTGCCTGATGTAGAAATGTAATAATGCACAATGGCATATCACGACAATGATATATATACAATGTAAGTAATATATAGGTGTTCCTTAACTAAAACATCAGCTTAAACATGTTTGATACACTTTTTTTGTATAAACGTAAAATGTTGAACTGGCTGAGTTGGAGATATGATAGATGACCTGATCACTGACATTTCAATAGGGTTCTGTTTACACTTGACCGTGAATCTGTTTACCAGTCATACGTCCGAGGTGTATCTTATCGCTAATGCATTTTCTTTCCTTGTTCTGGTCTTTATTGGCTGTACAACGATTCGCTAATTCACGTTAGATGCTCGTGTTGCCGGGTTTCCGTTTTCCGTTTTCCGGGTCATGTGATCAGCTAATGTATTCGCTGTTCCGGGTCATATTGTCACCATGCTCCACACACAAATCCCCACGCTTTTCACACCACACACCAGTCACCACACACTAATCACCACGCTCCACACACCAATCCCCACGCTTTTCACACCACACACCAGTCACCACACACTAATCACCACGCTCCACACACCAATCCCCACGCTTTTCACACCACACACCAGTCACTACACACTAATCACCACGCTCCACACACCAATCCCCACGCTTTTCACACCACACACCTGTCACCATACACTAATCACTACGTATATACACCTCTCCCCACGCTCCACACTCCAATGCCCACGCGCCACGCTCCACACACACGTGGTCAACCAGCAAGGAGCCCCACGTCGACCCCGTGACAACCTCAGATACTTCATGCACATGGCATCATTTTGATATATGATATGCCTGCATATATATCTTTCTCCCTGTGTGAGACAATTGGGGCAAACGGGATGTCACTGATCAAACATGTTTGTTATCAAATCTGAGCTGTTTTGGCCCCCGTCACACGCATAGGACTTGCCTTCGGGTGGCTTGAGAGTGGGAAAACGTGACATCATCCAAACATGTCACAAATGACGTGAAAGCTAGGACACGTGCCTTTTAGTCCATAGTAACCACACAACCCTGTGGTCGACGTACGAAACATGACATGTACACGTAGATTGAAAACCTGTCGTAAATCGGGCTAACTCCGAGTTCCAAGAGCCCCGGCGTCAAACCTGTTAAAGACAGGTCACCAATTAGCCCAGGGAACCAACTTCACGTCGATGTGCAACATGTGCATGGGTTTGTGCATATTCAACGTATAATAGATGTTCAAACGACGGCACCAATGTGCCTGACCCATGTCATAAACCGCCGTCAGTACGGATATCTATAAATCTATAAATAAATATGCACTGTATACTTCTGTAGGCCATATATATGTCGAGTGACGACATTTCTATTTACAGGTGGTTTTCTCGCTGGCATAAAGCCAAGGTTGTGTTTCTACTTTCGGTTTAATGAGATCGTAGTTGTTGACAAGGACGTCCAGATATTGCTGTGGAGATTTTCACATCTTTGATATCCTGGTAAGTGTATCAGTTATAATAACACGATTATATTCATAATACATGCCCATGTTATGCTGCACCCACTCATGTTATTGCCAGGTTATTGTGAGAATGTATGAACTGTACCTATTCGATCTTGTCATGTACAGTGGCGTAGCTGTACAGCGTAGCACAAAAGCACGTGCTTACACTTTAAAATTGGACCGAAAAATGTTGTGATTCAAGATGCTAAAGAATAACATTTAATTTGTGTTCCTGTTTTCTGTGTGGTTTCTTTTACCATACCGTGGTACCCGAACGCAACTTGCTTCAGTGGATCATTTATAGACAAAGCGTGTTTTGTCTACTCTACTCAATGCAAATAAGTTATGTCTGAAACAGGCTGACACTTCAGTCCGAAATCGTTAGTTCTTTGAGATTGTTTTACCCTTAAGCTATTGTATATTTTGTTATGTGCAGAAATGAGGAAGAAATCTGCAACACGTTCATCAGGTCCATTGATTGCTACTTTGCTAAACAACCCAAATTGACTGAAACAATCGTTACCTCTTCATGACCACATCTCTCTGGAAATGGGGCCGAGGTTGATAAAATTGTACCTAATGGTCGTTTTGAAGCACAGTACCTAGTGCCCAGCTCACTGCACAACCTTACTGATGAAATGTAGGGGCATGTTTCTGTCAAAGCGACATAGAGATTGAGACACTGACATGTTGAAGTCCTGATGTAGGAAATGCCGCTGGCAGGACATAACCATTGAAGGAAGGCCATCTTTATCTGCTAACAACTCTCTACTTTGCCAAGGAGGATCTTTATCCTCACATCCATATGGCCGTGTCCTATGCAACAGGGTGCGGTCTTTCAGCACAATGAGACGCTTTAAGACTTATCTCAGGTCAGCATCTGTTAACTGGCAGATTGTCTTCAACTTGCACTTATTCACGTATATTGTGATTTTCGTGGTACACATTGACAAATTAAGTCAATGACATATTCGCACAATGTCAAGCTAGAAGACTGGCTCTTCTATGACCAACAACTGTGATGACCCGATGCTGCTGTGATAGTTTGTTGAATCCCTCTGTCGAGATCCAACGTATGCTTTTGAAGCTGAAGTGTTTCGAGTTTTCTTTAAGATGTTTTAGTACCTTCTAACTATTTTTTACAATATGAACTTGGTCAGGGTCTGCTTCAGTTCGATCTAGTATATTGGAGTGATCTTTTATAGTTTACATGTCTTACCAGGTTATTGATGTTTGTCTTAACTTTGTCTCGTGTTCAGAAGAATGTTTTACTTTGAGTGTGGTATACTCTCCCTGATTTCAAAATGTTTCATCATTTGTGCCTGCACTCTGCATTATCCTTGCTATGTGCCTGATGTAGAAATGTAATAATGCACAATGGCATATCACGACAATGATATATATACAATGTAAGTAATATATAGGTGTTCCTTAACTAAAACATCAGCTTAAACATGTTTAATACACTTTTTGTATAAACGTGTAAATGTTGAACTGGCTGAGTTGGAGATATGATAGATGACCTGATCACTGACATTTCAATAGGGTTCTGTTTACACTTGACCGTGAACCTGTTTATCAGTCATACGTCCGAGGTGTATCTTATCGCTAATGCATTTTTTTCCCTTGTTCCTTGTTCAGAGGCTGTACTACGATTCACTAATCCACGTTAGAAGCTCGTGTTGCCGGGTTTCCGCTTTCCGTTTTCCAGATCATGTGGTCCGCTAATGTATTCGCTGTTCCGGTTCATGTGATCAGCTAATGTATTCACTGTTCCAGGTTATGTGATCAGCTAACATATTCGCAGTTCCGGGTCATGTGATCTGCTAATGTATTCACTGTTCCAGGTCATGTGATTAGCTAATGTATTCGCTGTTCCAGGTCATGTGATCAGCTAATGTATGCGCTGTTCCAGGTCATGTGATTAGCTAATGTATTCGCTGTTCCAGGTCATGTGATCAGCTAATGTATTCGCTGTTCCAGGTCATGTGATCAGCTAATGTATTTGCTGTTCCAGGTCATGTGATCAGCTAATGTATTCACTGTTCCAGGTCATGTGATCAGCTAATATATTCACTGTTCCGGGTCATATTGTCAGTTGATTTATTCGCTGTTCCAGGTCATGTGATCAGCTAATGTATTCGCTGTTCCAGGTCATGTGATTAGCTAATGTATTCGCTGTTCCAGGTCATGTGATCAGCTAATGTATTCGCTGTTCCAGGTCATGTGGTCCGCTAATGTATTCACTGTTCCGGGTCATATTGTCAGTGGATTTATTCACTACTGCAGGTCACGTTGTCAGTTGACTTAGTTACATAATTGTCAGGTTATCTATTTAATTTTTCCGGTCTTTATGTCAGGTTGTTTTAGTGATTGTTTATGGCCATTTTGTCGGATGGTTACGTTTGTTATTTCAGGTCATTTTCTCAGTTGATATGATATTAATTAATTGTTGCGAGTCATGTTGTCAGTTGGTTAATCGTGGGACGCTGTTAGCTGGTTTATTCACTGTTTCAGGTCATGTTGTTAATTGATAAACAAATTGTATCTATTGTTTCAGGGCATATTGTCAGGTTATTGGTTCACTTTGGCGGGTCATGCTGCAGGTGTATATTTACGTGTCATATCATGTCAGTTAAATGTGTATTTCTTAGGTAGTATTGTCAGCTGCTTGTTGTATTGGCTCAGACCATGTTTTCATTTCAAACTGATCTTGACGTCATTTGCTTCTTTTGCTTCTGTGATGTTGTCATCTGATTGTTTGAACATGTCAGGTTTTATAATGATTTATTGTATTTTAGTCCATAATTTATTGTTGATATACCAATACTGACAATTACGATTATGGCTCTCGCAATCGCAGGACTGTGATCAGGCTATATCGGGGATTCGAACTGATGAGCATAGCTTTCGCAGTCGGCTAACACTTAATGGCAAAAGATTACACAGGCACTTCCGGTTGAGGTGATGTGGCATCGCAACCACGAGAAATGGTTGCATGATGTTTAACCCAGAGCATACTTTTACATTTTCTCTTTAATAAACATGTGTCTACTCATTGCCTCTATAGTGTCCCCAAACGATGACTGCTACTGACCCTTTCCGAGTATGAGAGTGGTCACATGTAGAACTTTACCACCGTTTCAAGCTAATGCTGATTTTGAAACTTATTCTCTATCATTGCTCTTCAGTGTGTCCACTCACGATGACCGCTACCTACCCATGTCCGGGCATCAGAGTGGTCAGAGGTCCCGACTGGGCCGGGAGAGATCTAGATGGCGGCGAAGGTCACGTGGGAACGGTTGTGAAGATAGAAGATTCTGATTGGCAAAAGGCAAAGTGTCTGTTGGTCTGGGACAGTGGCCGAGAGATCCAGTACCGGGCAGGATATGATGGCAAGTTCGAGCTGTTGGTGTTTGACTCAGGTCCTACAGGTATGATACTGAAGATTGAAGATTGACCGAATGTCAGGAAGTTTGCACTGAAAATGAACGATGTCAAAGCGGTGTTCAAACTCGTGTGAACGAGCGAGTTTACGAGCGAGTTCACGCGAGAGTTTGAACAACGCTTTGACATCGTTCATTTTTCAGTGCAAACACACAAACTGACATTCAATCTCCTTATATGGCCTTCGCACTTTGAAGTTTACACATATGTTTTCCAAATCCAATTTGTAGATGATCATTGTTTAGTGTGTTTTAATACCTGTAAAATGTTGTAATGCCATTCGGTTCAAGAACGTACGTATTATTAAAGCGATGTTTGTATACACAGCGATTATTTTACACATGTATCCCAAACCCTTGAAGAAATAGTTCTCAAAGTATTCGATCTTTAAAATATAACAACAAATTCGTTATGAGGTTTGAAACTGCTTTAATAAATATAATCAATAACAGTATCAAACAGAAACAAATATCAGAAGCAATAACAATACCATTTTAACAAACTGGCATTGTACCTTTCACTTGTAAATACCTTGTTTGACCGCGTAATAATACACTGACCGACTTCGAAGTTGTGCGGCGTGGCGAATGGGAAACAGATCTTGTTGTATTCTATTTATTTGTGATTGTTTATTGTGAAATTTATTGAGCAGTTGTTAAACAGACCTCGGGCAGAAAACCTGCGGGATTAACCCGCAACTGCGAGACATTAAACTCCTGTGAAAAGGAACAATGTTCGGCAATCCGTTTGGTAGTGACATTGCCAAACTTGGGGTGACTTGAAACAGGTTCGTTCGCGAAATTGGTATAACCAATTATTGGGGGTCCTTGAAACCGAAGCGAAAAACGTTCACACACGTATGAACGGTGTTTACACGAGTATGAACGATTAGAGGGGTTCAAGAGTAATGAACCTTGAAATTTAGATCACATGACCGCTCTCTCAACCAACCAACGTTCGGGAATCTGTGTAAACTTGAAAGCACGAAATTATATGAAGATGATATCTTGAACTCTGCTCATTGACAAAAATTGCGTACTGTTGAGCAGTGACATTTGAAAAAATATCCTGCCCAAAATTCAAACATATTTATTACCCTGGTGTGTAAAGCTGTGATATATAGAAATATTCAGAGTTTTAGAACATGTTATGTGACCAGTTGTAATTTGCTGTTTCCGATTAAAGGCAGCTATCACACATGCACAACAGTTAGTGAGTGAAAGTCAGCTCAACGCTGCTTTGAGTAATTTCCAGTTATATTACGGCATGTAAGCTTTACGCGGGAGGAAAGTTCAATGCAGTTCTCCGAGTTTACTACATTAATAAAATCCACCAGCAGGGTATGGTGTTTAAAACCCAGAAACACAATCAGGGCGAATCGATATTCGAAATCTCAAACCGTAGGCTCCTTGTTTCACCCAGGGACGCAACTCATAGTTCATAAGATGACTGGGGATCCTGGGTCCACAAAACCATTATAAATTACATACCATGTATTGAATGGAAGATTTATTTCAATAAAAGCACAGATCACCACAATATTAATTTTAACTTCCTGAATTGTTTTACGAGATGATTTTAATTAAGAATTATATTTATATTATTATTATTTTTACCTTTTAATCGTCTAGAATCAAAAATACATTCTGTGTTAAGTTACAGTTATGTTTGCATCTTACTAACATGCCTTTGTATATTGTCCAGGAGACCAACAGAAAGGCGTCATGTGTGATGGATGTGGAGAAGTTAACTTTTCAGGGATGATATGGACGTGCTCGACATGCACGGACTTCGACTTGTGCACCCTGTGTTACAACACAGAACGCCACGACACAGACCACGCCTTCCTCCGCTGTCTCACCAACAACTCACCACTGTGAGTACGCGTCTCAATGTCACGCATACACAATCTTGTGGTGTTAGCAATTTCTTAAGCAAGTTGTGTTGGAGAGGTGTATATCTAGGCACTTTTATAGATAATAAACATATTTCAGTCTCCATATTTGCCATAATGTAATCAGTTATATCTAGGGCATCATCACGGAAGTCATGAAACTGTTGTAAATTTTTTTTTAAGCTTTTGGGTTTAATTGTCATATAGAAAGCTTCGTGTGTGTTTTTTATCATAGTAACTACTAAAGTTGGCATCTTCTGCGCTTGACGTGTTAAAGTCAACAGATGAGGCTCATTTCTTTGTCATATTTTAGATATCGTGTGATACTGGGGTCAGGGTTATTCTGTCTCACAGTCCCTCAACCTTAGTATTTTCCCTATAGCAGAGCCCTCCCTGCAAAGCTAAAACCCTAAATGAAGCAAGTTTAATTTATATGGGTTTATTATTAATAAAATCCACCAGCAGGGTACGATGTTGATAAACCCAGAAACACAATGAGGGCGAATCGATATTCGAAATCACAAATTAGGCTCCTGGGTTCACCAAGGGACGCAACTCATAGTTCATAAAATGAGAGAAACAAAAATGTGGCGGATATTGTTCCCTTCGCTCTTTGATATTCTTAATTTTGTCACATATGTTAGGATGTTTTAAGTTTCAAAAGCACAATCTACAGTATCTTGTTAATAGTGCTGATCATCAGAGGAGTAATAATTTTTATTACTCGGAAATATAGTCAGTGTCAGCAGTTGCCTATCATGCAAAATCCAAATATCAAATTAATTCATATGGGTGCCTATAAAACGATGCTTTAAATATTTCAGAATTTTTATAAAGAGTTGCATGGGACCTTCAATTGAATTATCATCCTCCATGTGGATCGAATACAAAAACTATGTGAGAAGAATAGTGACTTTCTGGAGTAATGGACGGAGTGAAATACTGTGTATTTCTTAATTATGAGAACATTATTTGAAGTTTTGTTACAACATAAATTATTCGCATATATTGGTATATTTTAGGAGTATTACTACAACAGTATTTTGATTAATTCACTGGAAATGATAGCAAGGTATGTTTTAAGATTCTTTCTTTCTTAAGTAAATGTGGGCGGGTAATAAAATAAATAATAATGTAATCAATTATAAATAATTATTTAATTGATAGACATATCCTATTCATATGATTTTAAAGCAGAACTAGACAAACGAACACTATGCATATCATGGCAGGACAATCACTTGGTATTAACTTAGTTTGTTGGCTCCTGCTTTTAGATATTTTTTTTAATTAATGTATTTACTAATAAGATAATTCTAAAAGTGAATGCTAGTACCATAACTCATCAAAGTTATCTCAACGTTCAGAGAATCTGAAAAAGCAAAGTCTACGTTTTGGTCACGCCCTGGTCACGCATTATCCAATCCTGGAACAGAATAACTTTATTAAGTTACAAAAATCTAAGTTGACTTTTCTTTTAACGGAATGAATATTGAAACATATATTTAACCCAGATTTGATGTAATTCGATCTTCTTATAAATCATCAGCTTTTGGGGAGGTTACTAATATTTGAAGACTCAGCCAAAGCTAGTGTTTTATTCAGATGTTGGTTTTGGACAAATTGTACAAGGTTTGTAGGAGGTGAACGCTTCAGGACAATTTCATGTGTGTTTTCCTAAACTTTTGTTATGACTTTTACCAAATTTTGAATCAACTTACTATAAATTTTATGACACTACTAAGCATCTCAGAAAAGGAAATAGTGTTATTAGTGTTATGTCCTCTAGGGTTATATTCTCAGATCTGATAAAACAAAGATTATCATTGTTTAAGAAGCAATAATGTCAATATGTAATTGTATTGACGAGAAGCTTTGAACTTAGGGTATATTCTTTGCACCTTATTTACACTAGTAGTTAGCAGTGAAATATCTCTGATGAAAAAGCAATGTATTTTATTTTGTATTTTGTGTAACATTCTATTTCAATGCTAGTTCTTTGTTCGGATAACTGTGGATCCTCTTTTCAAAGATTTTGCATCACAGGTTTCCTATTTCTGCAAGATGGGTCTGCTAGTGTACATGTGCAGACTGTATCTGGGATCTTCTTTGTGTTCTGGTGCTATGGCATACCTTTTCATAAACGCTGGCAGTTCAGGAAGTCCATTATTGTATTACAACTCTGTCCTTCCAAGTCACTTGTAATGATGACCCGGGGTCATGCACGTTAATTGCGCTCTGACCTAACCGGTAAGCTGTTACGTTTACTGCGACTACATCCCGTCTCTTGACACCAAAACAAACATACATTTCACTGATAGTTACTGAAGTAGCTTTTCCCCAAGTGACCAACAAAATTTAAACTATTTTTTTCTTATTACGTCCAAGGGGATCATTAAGATATACGTTAATGGCATGTGGTCAGTTGGTGTTATTAGGAAGATATTTCACAAAAAGGGTTCCCCAGCACCGCACCAAATGTCACATACTTGAACATATCTGTACTCAAATTAAGCATAAGTCATGGTGATGAAAATGACAGCACTAAATACTTAAAACTGTGGTTAGTTGTAATTACTATAATGTATGTGCTTTTGAAAAATATAAAGGTCTTACACTATTTCATCCAATCACAGATGACACATTTCCCTATCACTTCAGATGTCTACAAACGCTATTCGCTCAAGGAGCCTATGATTCTGATTTAGTGTAGTGGAATCTGTAGGAACATTAGGAAACATGTGACGTAGGCAAATCTGTGATTCATGTATTGTATATACATGTAGCTTTTCAGAAAAAAATATCGGATGAAGCTTCAAAACGTTTTCTTGTCCTACATGTCTATATGCCACAAGAGAGCTTTGAGAGTTTATGTTTATTTCATCAATGCTTTGGAAAATGTATTTTTGCATTAATATAGAAAATTAATAATCATACATATACCATGGGACTTTACTCATATTTCACACTAGAAGGCTGTCCTGGGTTAATTCCATGCATGACTGGGGCTGCCTAGATCATATCAACCCAAAATATATTATGAACGACAAAAATCATGGAATTCAGGCCAGAAATTGGATAGGTTTCACATTAAGCAGCTTTAACATCCTGACATATGAAAGGCTGGATGATGAACTTTGCCAGAAAGTTTAACGAAAGGGGTTGGATTATACCCAGCAGTCTAAAACACTCATTAGAGAACCCTACCGCGTGTTAGGCGAGGAAGGAAAATGACCCCTTAAACAGATGGAATCGTTTTCAGCACACAACATGGTAAGGACTTACACTTGATTTTATTGATTCCTCAAACTAAGACTTTGTAATACTTCCAGGAAATCAAAATTATTACTGTGTCCCGAAAATATTGATACAGGTTAGTGTAGTGGAACCTGGAACCTGTAGGGAGGATTTCTGCGTTGATCTCAAAACGAGACTTGTGATTATTCATGGCAGCCTGAATGCTCGAAGATACAGAGTTAAAGTTTTGCGACCGGATGCGTTGCCAGTTATCCGTCTACAACCACGTGGCATTGTCTACCAACGCGGTAACGCAAGGCCTAATACACCAAGACTGACAAACGACTTTCTGCATGACGCTAACATCGTTGTTTCGCCGTGATCAGCATGTTCTCCCGACATGAATCCGAACACCTGGATCGACAAATCAGAAGACTACCAGCGCCTCCTGTCACCGCTCAACAACTGGAATAATTCCTGCCAGCAATGGCAACGGATCACGCCTAACGTCATTCGTCGTCTTAAGTCATCAATGCGTCCACGTGTTTTGAAGCCAATGGTGCTCACAATCACTATTGATTCAACATTTGATGACATTTTGCAGAATAAAACGGCTTGTTGAGTTGTATAAAAGTTCAGACTACGACACTACGTGTGTTTTAATGTCAGTCAAACGGTACGTTCGACTTTGTAGGAAATGAAACTGTGCACATTTGCTGTAGAATTGAATAGTCACTCAATTGAAATTCAACATTTCATTTATAAAATGATGTTCTCTTCTTTTTAGGTTTGGTCAAACACACTGTATACTTTCTTTTGAGCACTTGTTTTATATGAAAACAAAAAGTTTAAAGGCTTTACTGGAATGACCTAGAGGATCGAGCTGATGTGAAAAACTAATCTGTTTCTATTCACATTTTCAGGGTGCGCGTGCCGCCTCGTTCTGGCGCTCAACGAATAGCTGCTATTGGTCTATTCAAGAATGCAAAGGTCATTCGTGGACCGCACTGGAAATATGGAGATCAAGACGGTCAGTTTTGAAAAGGATTGTCCTTTCAAAAGGATTGTAACCGGAGTGTCAATATTCCGTGAATGTTTCACGAGTCTAATAAGGCAAAAAGCTTAACCTATAACCAGTTCATCATTCTCTCATAAGCCAAGGTCATGTATCATTATCAATATCTATATTCGAATGGTCAGTTTCTCAGTGTTGTATATGACAAAGGCCTGTGTCAGTTTCAATATTTATATCCGAATAAATAGTTCTTCAATTCAATATAACTTTAGAGCCTGTATCAATATATACGCTCCCGTATACGTCAGGTGACTCTGTGTCAATATCGATATATGTTTCCGAATGATCAGTTTATCTGTATTAGCATCAGCATCTGTCGTTAAGACAACCGTTACTTCCATCTTTTAATACACACCCGTGTCAGTCGTTGTATTAAGTACCCTTTGTTGTAAGGGGGCCTCGATAAAAGGGCGATCTCACCTTAAGTTTACATTTGTAGTCTTAAATTTGATCAAGTCTTGACCTGTAAATAAGCATAGAATCATCAGCTATATGACTTCGATCTGCACATAATCGAATCTGGACGAGCCAAACCGGTGATTAACAAGAGCATCAATCTACACAATTGAGATACGATGACATGTGCCAACCTAATCAACGACCCTGACCACCCCATCCCGTTAGTCGCCTCTTACGAGGCATGGATTGCTGAAGACTAGTTCTAGAATCTTCAGGAGATATTCTGGTGCACAGAGAGTATCCAACCATGACATGACTGTGGTTTCTACGTTTGCAGGTGGAGAAGGAACCACCGGGGACGTCGTACAGCTCGGGGCGTTGTCGGGAGGGTACAGTCGGGGGGCTGTCAAAGTGAGGTGGAGGGGTGGACAGGACAGTCTGAAGGGATACCGTATAGGAGCCCAGGGCAAGGTAGACGTCATCACAGTGGACGAGACTCAAGGCTGGAGGTACTACAAGGACCATCTCCCGCTGCTGGGTGAGTTGATTCTAACGACACACCACCTTTCTGGGCATCCAGGATGTTAAACCAACATTACTGACAGGCGAAGCCTGAAGTAAAAAAATTTCATGTTGCGGAAGCAAATGATACTTTTGTCATTGTTGTCAATAACGTGGATATCAAAATTTCTTGATGCATTTCAAAATACCTGATACACGTTCAAATTGATTTTCTGAAAGACCAACAGGTTTGGAATCTATGGATGTTATTTGTGTAACATAGGAAAACGAACTGACGAAGTATATTATATTCTTAGGATCACGAACTTAGGGTTTTGAGATTTCCGTTAAAATGGTGTGTTAATTGTAATGATTTTCTGGCTGGTCAGTAATGCTGTTTGATAACATATGAAGGAATATGTTCACTGGACGAATGTAGAGGCCAAAGCGTATTAACTACTTGTTCTCATTTGTGCCTTTAGTTTCTGGACATTTTAATACATGATGTTGGTTCCAGTTGTCGTTGTTTATGGTGTCGTCCTTGTTCAGAAGGGGGGAGATGAGGGGGAGGGGAAAGGAGCGCTTTTCTATCAAATGCACCAGTTAAAGAAAACCATTCCCGACAAACCTTATTTTTTTCTGCTATATGAGCTAGGTTATGAGTCAAGTTTGGTAAAATTTTAAGCGATTCCAGAAAAGACTCCTTAATTTGATATGTGATTCCAGCAACATTTGATAGTCGAAATAGATATAACTTGATTGAAGATTGAAAGTATTATTCGAACATATCATAATTCTTTTTTTAATTTTCTTATTTATTGTGTACGCTCAGCAAAAAAACGGAAATTCCACCATATTTAAGACAAAAACACAGTACGCCAAAACGTATTCTGCTTCGCGGAAAACATTTACTTTTAATGTTAATTATCCTTTAATTATTGATTTTCTAAAGAAATATAATTATTAGATAATTTTTGGTAAATGGTTTGTAAATAGATAAATATTCTATTATTAGTAGTTTAATTGAGCAGCTGAGATTGATAGTGGTTGTATCTTCAAAGGGGGTTAAAGTGGTAAAATTATTGTCCTGCTGAGAGGGTACGTAAGTCCCAAAAAGTTCGAAGTAAATTTAAATCTACCTCTTTATAATCGTAGAATATGTGTTCTATTGGTGTATGGCTAGATTTGTCTAAATTGCTAACTTGTTTGATAGGCAGTTAGAATTTGGTGTGATGAACAACGAGGATAGTTCTATGGATATACATCTTCTTTGATATACTATGAGCGACGTTTCGGTGTAGCTACTAACGTTGCTTGATAACGGTGTTAGTAGCTACACCGAAACGTCGCTCATATTATATTAAAGAAGTTGTTTATTCATAGAACTCTCCTCGTTGTAAATTGCTAACAGCTGCAGGGACGGTTTAAATCCAGCTAGGGTCCATGCAAGAAGCAAATGTACTGTAAGTCACCATAGTCCCTGGTATGGTGATGCACCTTCAGTAGTTGACGATCTATAGCCTGTGTTTTATAATGGTTGAGAATAAATTATTACTTTTAAATTTATATCTGTGATAAACAAGTTGTTTTACAGTCCATTGTTGACAGGTTTTTATAATTTACCTTTAATTATTATTAATCTATAACTTGATATAGTCAGGATATGGCTGAAATACTGCCGATGAGAATTAAAACTTTAGCTCACTCACCCACCCCATGTGCCTGCAATCCCATGTACACTGTCAACTTATCTCGTGTCCCAGTGCCGTTTTTTCTCAATTGATCAAATGTTCCCGGATTTTTTGATCGAATACGATAGGTTTGGAGCATGGGAAACGCTCAACATTTTGGGCACTTTTTCGAACAGTTTGAAGATAAATTATGCAAATGTGACATGGCGACATATCATTATGGTACAGTTACACATTTCTACTTGCTGACACCCTAGACTGATGAAATATACAAGTTTTATTAAAATATATTGATTGCTTTTTTTTTCCAACTAGTTGGACAATCGGTATTATTGTCCCGCTACATAACCAAGGGAGTATGGATAATCCAAATAATTACAGAGGCATTATTCTTTTGAGTATTTTTAGTAAGGTTTTCACTTCTTACATTAACAGAAGATTAGTAACTTGGGGAGAGGCATTGAATAAAATAAATGAATCCCAGGCAGGATTTAGACACGGATATACGACTCCTGACAATATGTTTATATTACAAAGTATTATACAGAGATACCTCAACACCAAAGGTGGTAAACTCTATACACTTTTCGTTGATTTCGAAAAAGCATTTGATTCAGTTGACAGACAAAAGCTATGGTCTATTTTAATACACACGGTCTAAGTCCTAAAATGAAAAAGTTGATTCATAATATGTATGAAAATGTTAAAGCTTGTGTTAAGAATAACAATGAATTCTCAGATTCTTTTGAACTACAACTCGGGGTAAGACAAGGCTGTATAGCCCATTTTTATTCTCATTTTTCATAAATGAATTAGCAACCCAAATTGAAAGCAATTGTGAGTTTGGAATACAGTTACACCCTGACCTGGTACATATCTTCCTTCTGCTTTTTGCAGACGATATCGTGCTATTCTCAAGCACTGTTGCAGGTTTACAAAGAGTTATACAAGAACTTGAGAGTTATTGTGACAAATACAAATTAACTGTAAATAGAAATAAAACTTAAGTAGTAGTTTTTAAAAAAGGGGGACGTTTATCAAAAAAGGTATAAAGGTAAAGAATTAGAATGCACCAGTTCGTACAAATATATGGGAATGTTCTTCAGTAATTGTTTATCTTGGACAGCACATGTTAATTACGCTTGTTTGCAAACACAAAAGGACATGATAGATATCTTTAAACAATTAAATGCACTTGGAGACATAGATATAAGTTCATACTTTAAAATATTTGATGCCAAAATTAAGCCAATTTTATTGTATGGAGCCGAAATATGGGGTAATATGCACTTATTTCCAAATATCAGCGTTATAAAATACTGGTTAAAATTACTGAAGATGCCTTCTTATAGGCTACCAAAGAAACGTTGCAATATGATGATGCTATTCGATGAAAATCGACCCACAAATTGGGTTTCTTTTGTTAGAAATTTTCTATTCTCGAAAGGGTTTGGTTTTGTATGGAACGATCAGTATGTTGATTCTGAGGGTAAGTTTATTTTAGAACTAACACGAAGATTAAAAGATATCTATTTGCAAGAATGGTTTGAAAAGTTATCACTTTCCAGTAAATGTTTGTATTATATGATGTTTAAATGTACTTTTGACGCCGAAATTTATCTTTCATGTCTAAACGTAAAAAACGTATAGGATAGCCTTAAGCAGATTGAGATGTTCTTCACATGATTTATTTATTGAAAGTGGACGTTTTAAAAATGTCAAAAAAGAAAATAGAACTTGCAAACTATGTGATCTTAACCAAATAGAAGATGAATATCATTTTCTTTTAATTTGCCCTGCTTATAATTCCCTGAGAAAGTTGTATATCAAGAAATATTATTGTGCCCATCCAAACCTTTTTAAATATTTCAGCATTCTTAAAAAACAACCAAAACCATACTATACTTCAAAACTTGTCCATGTTTGCTTACTATGCCATGTTGTTTAGGACAAAGTATATCTCAGAACACAATGTAACCTACAGTTGATTATTTTCTCTTCTTCATGTATATTACATGTGCGTATAAATATTGATTTTATAAATGTGTTGTCTTACAGACCTGTGGCCTTTCAGTACCGGAAATACATATATATATATTACCTTTCGCATATGAAAGAAAGGCACTATAATCCCGAAATACTACATTTTGCAATGAAACTTATACATATTTTGGCATATTATTGCGACTTCTTAATATCAGTGTATTTCAACAGACTTTATAATATTTTAAGCTCTATGATGCAATAGTTTCTAACCTTTTAGTTCAAAACTGTCTGTGTAAGATATGGACGAGCAAATCAAGGGTTTTTCTGAAAAACCCGTCACATGTGGGGACCAATTAGGTCTAAAACATCATGCCAATCACAGAATAATGAAAGTATGACAGAATTTAGAGTGTTTCCCTTTTATCAACTTACAGTAGCATTGATAACAAGTAAAATCCCAAATCTAAGACATGAACTGGGGCGATCCTCAAATGATGGTCGATTTGAACTGGAATTCTTATAACGTTATTTTAATTACTTTAGTTTCACAAAAGCGTTGTTATTAGTTCATGAAATGTCTCAAAAGATAAAACCAATTTGGAAACAGACACATATTATCGAAACGTGTTCACAATTGTAGTTTGGCTGTTACAGATGTTGTGAATCCCACTGAAGTTCGCCTGAAGGTTGGGGACAAAGTGAAAGTAGAGGTGGACGCAGATATATTTGAACGCACGCACAGGGACTTGACTGGTTATCGTGACAGCATGGCACAGGTACGTACCGGTCTTCTCCATCATGCTGATTTCAACATTGATAAATTCACTAATTACTCGTCCTCCGTTGAGGTCACAGATGACGGGTGTGACTTCGTAAATAAGTGAGTTTGGTTTTACGCCGCTTTTAGCAATATTCCAGCAATATCATGGCGGGGTACACTGGAAATGTGCTTCTCACAGAGTTCCCATGTGGAGAACCGAGCCCGGGTCTTTCGCGTGACGAGTGAACGTTTTAACTACTGGGCTACCCACTGCTCGTGTGACGTCGTAATTGCATCTGCCATCAATGACATGCTGATTAAGTCTTCTGTGTTTTGATGTGATGATCTACAACGACGTCCTTCTTTAACACAGCTTTCCCAACAAATTAAGATTTTTATATTTCCAGTGTTTGGTAGAGGTTGGTACTCTCATCGGTCTTCCCTCTCCAGACGGACGCATCATTGTTGCACATGTACAGTACCCGGATGCTGAGAAGCACCATCTGGCGAAGAAGACTTTGACAAGGGTAGGTAGTGTCTGGGCAATATGAGTCGTGACATGATCTGTTTGATTGGCATTTCAGAAGTAGATGAATAATAAGAAAGGTATGATACTCTTATTCCTGCTTAACAAAGGAGTAAGAATCTGGTTTTGTTCAGAGCTCAGAAAGTATGTATAACCTGTGTTAACATTTTTTAAAGTCTTCATCGTCCACAAAAGAGTCTACTGACTGTAATCTTGAATGTCAAAGAAATAGGTACACATATTGTACGTTCAACCTTACATTACAATCTTACTGTACGTTTGATCATGCATTCACTCAAACGGATAGTAAATAGTTTGCCTTCACAAAATGTAAATTTGCAGTCTTCAGTTATGACTGAACAAGTTCGGCATCGAGGTGTTTGGCATTTTGTTACACTGGCTGAAAATTTCTTTTTCATAGTATCACTTTTATACAAAATTGGAAGATTTGCTTTTATAATGGGCATAATTGTACAGTTATTAGGAGTGTAGGTACAAACAAATAGAAGAATTCCCATTTCTTTTGTTTAAGTGTCTCTCCTGGGACTTTTACTGCTTTATGAACAGTATTTTCAACTACCTAAGAAGATATGTCTTATATATCTATTACATATTACCTAGTGTCAGTAACGTCATACGCATGATGACGACATAGCTACTACCGTTATGCTTCGCCTATGACGACACTTACTTTTCATTGTACACATGAAGAACCGTTGACCGGCGAAAGATCTTGTGCAGATAAAGTCTGGAGTTTTATATATAGATGTCCAGATAGTTCGTCTATAGATAGGCTTATATATATAGTGAGATAATTTAGTGTCACTTTCATCCTCAGTGTTCAATCTGATCCATGCAGAACTAGTTTAGCCCAGCTTCAATAAGTAGCCAACTGCATCGAGGTCCTCGGATGCAGTCTATAACAATACTATTTTAACTTAAAAACTCATTCGTTTATATTTCGCCTTACTCTAATATACCTTTATCTTTACTCCAATATATTAAGCTTGGCTTGTTTTCTTTCTATCATAGGGGTGGTGGGGTAGCCTAGTGGTTAAGGCGTTGGCTCTTCACGCCGAAGACCCGGGTTCGAATCCTCACATGGGTACAATGTGTGAAGCCCATTTCTGGTGTCCCCCGCCGTGATGTTGCTGGAATATTGCTAAAAGCGGCGTAAAACCAAACTCAGTCAGTCAGTCTTTCTATCATATGAATACAAGAACATTCACTAACTACAGCATACCCTTCGCTCTTGTCCTTTACTTTCTGGTTATTAGATTACCTTTATAACAACATAAATCTTTCCTTATCCTGACTCATGCTTATTGCTTGTCTCCCTTTCCTTCCGAATGCTAGTGGAACGCTTGAAGCTCCCTTCAAAAAGCGGACGTAACATCACTTACCAGGAGTCACCTCCCTTCCCAGGTTTTGGCGGGAAATGGCGCCACCTGTCTTCCATGCTCTTCACTGTCTCCTGATTCGCCCGAGTGGGTGGTTGTGAGAGCACCTGGTCCCCTATACGGCTTTATATCCTTTTATTATTTAGGCCTTTCTTCTAAATTAGCTGTATAAGGCTTTAGTTAACATTTACCTACAATATTCTACGTAATTAATTCTCAAATTTCTCTGTTTTTATCACGTTTTTACGTGATTATGCACATTGTTTACAATTGATGAAATCTTGTTCTGGTTGTAGGTATCGATTGTCTGCTGTTGATTCACATAACCTATGTCCTAATTGCATGCCCGTATGTTTATCTGACACTCGTTGTCAGTTTTGTTTTCACCTGTCTGATATTGCATTTTACAAATATTCATATTATCTGTCTAGACGTGCAAAGGACAGGTCCAGACGAGAATTACACGACATGTCTAAACCGGCTAAGCTTGCAGAGGACCGGCAGTTGGTGTCTGCGCAGATGCACCATTCCAGTGGTCTACCGGGGTCGTCTACGGAGGAGGTTGCCGCCATAGACAACGCTGGTTCGAGGAAGAGGTCATCTACATCTGATACACCTTCTTCGCAGTATAAGAAGACTAGGGCATCATCTTCCCAGAGAAAGAAGTCAGCTACAACTAAGACTTCGTCGAAGTCTCACCACGGGGCAACGCAGAAAACGAGGTCCTTTTGAGCTGAGATCATCCCTCTGGAAGAAATAGATGTCTACGATGAGCCGCCCATCCTCATCCCTGAGATCACATCTAAGAAGAAGACGAAGACGTCTTCTACAGTGACCACGCAGGACAACCTTTCAACGCAGACGTTCGGCACGAAGGATCAACGCCCTTCGGAAGAAGCCTCATCCGTCTCAGTAAATCAGCGTTGTCAGTACAACAGACAATGCAGACCTTCAACCCGGGCGCCTTTATGCAACAATTTACCCAACAGATGTTGGATCTGATGGAACAACGGTTCACATGCGAGAGAGCTGCGATGAAGACGACGTCTGCGACGAACCCGACTGAGCTGCACACCATGTCCGTTGGGAACCAACGTCCTGCAGAGCATACAGGAAGATTCCAGCTCGACTACAGCGTCCGCACGAATACCTGGCAGCCATACCAACGTGGAACCCGCACCAACTACGTTCGACGGAAGGACCAGACGTTCGCCGAACCCACGTAGATCATCATCGACGTCAGATACGGACGTTCGTCACGAACCTGCACGTAACGGTTCGTTACCAAGGAGAAGAGAATCAACATCCGTGTGAAGGCATAGAGATTCGTCACAAGACTCCAACCCTCGACAAAGCCGTTCACCTGCACGCAGGTTCACACGAAGGCACGCACGGTCATCTCTATCTTCACGCATGTCCCCACGAAGGAAGTCACGAACACATTCACGAACCAGACCACAATAGAAGACATCCATTCTCAGAGCAGGAAGATGACGGCGGAATAATATTTTCCGACTCGGAAATCAAGTCATGGATAGCCAATGGTTTGGCACTCGCATCCCCCTCTAAGGAGACCAACGAAGCACTTGATGGTGAATGATGATATAGACTCACTCATGATGCCACCTATCGAGCCTGTCTTAGACATTCCAGACAACCTCAGCACAGCCGTCAAAAAGGCAACTAAATACCAGACTCAGAGTATTCAGTCGTTCAACGCTAAGAAGTTATCATCCATTTCATGAAGGCAGGATTAACATAAGATCATCAACGAAGGCTTACAAGATAGAAGACTGGCACAGTTAGACACAGTATGAACATTCTTCGGCCTGTCAAGAGCTATCAACGAGAGCATCTGGAAGAAATTTTCAGAGGAAGATCGAAGTTTACAGCTCTACTACAGAGATCATCCCCTTGGTCAGCATCCATCCATTTTTGCAAGGACAATTGAGCGAGAAATTTTCCAAGTCGCCATCCATTTTGCAGGAAGTGAAGTCGCCAAGGAAGTCGCTAAAGATTCCTGAGAAGTGATGATGATCAAGTCTATCGATACACTGGCCAGTGTAACACGTCAGACCTCCCAACGTTATTCCGGCAAATCGAAGTTTGCAGGCATCCAGAGAGCAAGGGATAAGAAACAAGCAACGCTAAAGGGAATAAGGATTCTTTTCGTTGCCCATCCGCAGCTCCAAGAGGTAACTACGGAAGAGGTCGGCCCTTTCGCCAGAAGTTCCAGACGATGAAATACAGGTTCAGAATGACTGGAGTCTTCCACCCCCAGCCATTCCAGTACAAACCTCACAAGTGGGTGGACGTCTGCAACTCTACTGGAAGAATTGGGGAATTCTTCAAGACGACTTCGTATCTCAGATTCTACGCAAAGGTTACAGGATACAGCTACAAGCAGTACCACCAGTAACAATCAACACACTGGTTCACAACTACGCTGCAGACCAGAAGGGAATTCTACTAGAAGCCATCACATCTCTACTAGAGAAAGAGGCAATAGAAGAGATAAAACAAGACTGCGTCACACCAGGTTTCTACTCCCCAATTTTTCTGGTACCAAAGAAAAATTCAAAAGAAAAGTTCCGACTCATTTACAACATGAGGAAATTCAACAAAGATTACCTCCTACCACCCGCAAAGTTCAAGATGATACATCAACCACAACTACGACATCTCATACGTCCGCTAGACTATCTCGCCAGCATAGATTTACAGGATGCATACTTACACATCCCGATCCATCTGGAGTCAAGGAAATATCTGCAATTCCTGTTCAACAGACGTCATTTCCAATGGAAGGTCTTGCCATTTGGAATATCGTCGGTCCCCTGGTTGTTTACTCGAGTGACAAAGCCCATCAATATATATCTACATCGTCGAGGTCTACGCAGGTCAAGCTCAGCAAGATCCCAGTCAACTCAGACTGCAATTGAACTTCACCATCAGACTTCTCACTCAACTAGGATGGCTAGTAAATCTCCTCAAGTCGGAACTAGAGCCTACTGAGGACTTACAATTCCTAGGAATACGGCTTATAACAACGAAGAATCGCATTCTCGTTCCAGAGGATCGTTGGATCGAGATTCAACAAATGGTCTCTCAAGTTTTACTCTCTCCGTTACCACTACGAGAATGGCAGAGCCTATTAGGTCTCCTCACGTCAGCTCAAGACATGATGCACAGAGGGAGACTACAACTGTGTCCACTACAGAGATTTGTGAACGCCCACTTACACAGTCTGGATCCCTTCGAAATACCAGACAGGCTAAAACCATACCTACTATGGTTGACTCAGAAGTCGAATGTTTGCGGCGGAAATTACTTAATAGAGCCGGAGTGCAACGTCCACCGCTACGTAGATGCATCACTGCAAGAAAGGGGAGCACACCTCGACAACGAAGTGGCTACCGGGAAATGGTCGAAACAAGAAATGAATCTGCATATCAACATGCTCGAGATAAAAGCAGTAGTAAAAGCTCTACTACATGGTTCAATATGCTAAGGAACGCTAAATTGATGATCCATATGGACAACTCAACAGTGGCGTTCTACATAAACAAACGAGGATCAACAAGATCTTGGAATCTTCTAGACCTCAGCTTTCAACTATTCAACATAATAGACAATCTCAACATTTATGTGAAAGCATGTCACATTCCGGGAGCCAGGAATGTAATAGCAGATGCGCTATCTCGACCACATCAACCATCCCCAACAGAATGGATGTTACATCCACAAGCATTCAGATGCATCATACAGACGATAGGATCTCCACTCATAGACCTATTCGCCACAAGATTCAACAATCAACTGGCAACATTCGTCTCTCCAATTCCCGATCCGCAAGCAGGGGCGACATACCTCTAAGCATCCCATGTGAAGGACTAAACGCGTATGCGTTCCCTCCGCCAGCGTTAATACCACAGGTATTACAGAAAATCAGGCAGACAAACAATCTACAACTGATTTTGGTCGCACCTTACTGGCCGGCAAGAACGTGGCTTCCCGTTCTCTTACAAGAACTCGGAAAAGTAACAATACAACTTCCAGTTTGGTCGAACCTACTAATTCATCCTCACACCAAGCAAGTTCACAAGTATCCCAGATTATTCCACCTACACGTATGGAACGTATCACGAATTGCTTGTCAAAAAGAGGATATTCCGCCAGAGCAGCGAAAGCAGTTACACTAGCTTTACGCAGATCTACTCGTAACTTGTATGACGACAAGTGGCAAAGCTTTGAGAAATATGCATCGAGGAAAGGTTTCACAGGAGTGAAAGCAACACATCCTCAAGTGGCGGATATCTTTGTCATCTCAGACAAATGAAGAAATTAAAAGGTTTGACATTATCTACATACCTAGCGGCTCTCAGCTCAGTTATCACTATGAAGACAGGCGTGAAACTGACGAAAGTGCCAGAGTTACTGGGCTTGCTATGCTCTTTGAAACTGGAAGACCAACAAAGGAAATATAAAGCGCCGGCTTGGGATCTCAACGTGGTGTTACGACATCTCACCAGTGATGTGTATGAACCACTAGAAAGAACTTCTTACGAATTTCTTACACAGAAAACGCTATTTCTGATCGCCTTGGCAACAGCGGCGCGGATGTCAGAAATACATGCTCTGGACTTCGAACGAATACGTTTTGACACACGTCACAACATGGTTCATCTAGGATTGAGGTGGGATTTCATATCTAAGAATCAACTGCCAGGTCAACCAGACAGACAATTCCACATCCCAGCATTATCTACAACCCTTGATCCACAGGATATACAAGACTTATGTTTATGTCCAGTCAGAGCGCTGAAAATATATCTACAAAAGTCTAAAACCAGGAGACAAAAATTCAAACGCCTTTTCATCCCCATATCGTCGGAGGTGGCTTGACCCACCACCTATACCGTGGGATTCTACAAGCAATAAGCATGAGTCAGGATAAGGAAAAATATGTAATTTTCTGAATAAAATTGATATTTTATACTTATCCTGACTCATGAGGAACACCCTCCCAACCTCCCCTCAAGGCATTCTGGATTTCCCAGTAAATCAGTGTGTCAGGCTATAAAATACGGAGAGAGTGAAGAGCGTGGGAGACAGGTGGCGCCGTTTCCCGCCAAAACATGGAAAGGGAGGTGACTCCTGGTAAGTGATGTTACGTCCGCTTTTTTGAAGGGAGATTCAAAGGAGAGTCAAGTGTTCCACTAGCATTCGGAAGGAAAGGGAGACAAGCAATAAGCATGAGTCAGGATAAGTATAAAATATCAATTTTATTCAGAAAATTACATTTCCTTTTAGAGGCAAAATAATTACTGATCAAAAGGATTTTAAGCATGTAGTTCTACTGGGAAAGCTGATGTGCTGTGCTCATTACATGCCATGGGGGTGCCTCTACTCAGATGATTAATCACTAATTACTCCCTGTAGTTAATTTGGGATGTAGTTCAAATGGGATGTAGTTTTTATGGGAGTAAACCCACTCGGAGGCTCTGACAAATTACAAAGAAAACAAGTTTTTATGAAAATGTATTCCAAGGTTAGTATAAGTATCAGGCATGCTCAAAGGTATACATGACCAAGATAATCTTTTGGAAAATTAACTCTTGCAGTTCCAGAGCCAAATACGACTACTTTAGTCTTTTCGATTTTTAATTTTAACTTCCACTTAACACAATATTAATACTATGCTGTAACTCATCCGGACTTTCAACAAATGAGACCATGTCATCAGCATACATCAGTACAAAAATCTTACAAATCCAAATATATCATCAATTTCTACATCATCACAGGTACTAGTCTCAAGATATGATTCAACGTCATTAATAAACAGTGAAAAAAGTTTCTCCCTGGCGTACGCCTTTACAACAGTCAAAATAGGTAGAGTCATTTCCACCTGTGGAAACTCTTGGTATTATCATACATATTATAAATAACCTTGTAAACTGTCCCAGTAATTCCGTGTTTAACAATTTTTTGCCAAAGTCTCACACACCAGACATTATCAAAGGCTTTTTGAAAGTCTATAAAAACACAATATAACTTTTTCTTCTTCGATTAAAGTATATCAATTAATCCATTTAAAACAAAAATATTATTTAAAGTAGAGTATCCTTTCGGAAACCCGAACCATAAACAAGCGAAGATTATAAGAATGTTTTGAAAAGAAATCTATCTACTCATGGATTATGCCTAGTGACTATTATTCGAATGCTTTCTTATAACTGAATGCATCTGAAATATAATCGCCACTTATATACACTTCTAACGTTTCAAAAATAAATGGCTTAGCCAGAAGCCAACGTTAAACCCCCCAAATCTATTCCCGACATGGATTATGTTTCTCGGCACCGTATCTTTAGCTTTGGCGGTACTCCCCTACTCCCTTTGAAATAAGCTCTCCCGGGAAATCCGAAATATATATTTTAGCCTTCCCGGGGCATCTGAAAAATAAATTTTAGCCTTCCCGGCACGACACCACTCAAACACCATCCATTCTCAGATGAAGACGTTTTGATGACGTCTTGGTTGAACTAATTATTGCAGCTTCACACATTTGCTGTCGGGGACGTTGTGAAGATTACAAACAACTACAACGCTGCCGTGGAGCTCCAGAACGGACATGGTGGATGGAATGACAAAATGGAAAATGTATGTAGACCGATGCAACAGTAACACGTCATTACTGTATTTTCTTTCTTCTTGTCGTCGTTGACGAAAAGGACATGACAAACGTTCGATTTATCCAATGTTCGACCAATCAGTTTAGAAACTGTCACCGGGAGTTACTGTAAAGTGTTTACTGTAAAGTGTTTTGGTGATTAATTTAAGAATGAAAAATAAAGATTGAAACCGTGAAATTCTGTTCAGGTATGATTGGACTAACAAACTTGTCCCCATACTTGATTGCAACTCTTCTTTACCGACAGTGTCTGGGAAAGACCGGCCAGGTCGTTGAGATCGACAAGGACGGGGATCTGAGGGTGGCCTTTGGGCCAGTCAAGTGGTTCTTCAGTCCCGTCAGCTGTGATCCTCAGGACAAGGAGAGGCCTTGTCAAGGTCCGGCATCTCTTTCGGGGCTAATAAAAGCACCAGTTCAGACTCCTCTACATCTGATGTCGATGGTACTCATAAATATGCATCAGCAGGTATAATACAATATTTAAACAGTAAACATCATGAATTACGGATAGGAAATTACTTGCTAAGAGTACATATCACTGGTTATAATGACAACCAACAACTCCGTGGTTGACAAATAGCATTTACCATTATTTTTCCTTATCTGGCTCATGCTTATTGCTTCTCTCACTTTTTTCCGAATGCTAGTGGAACACTTGAATCCCCTTTTGAAGCTCCCTTCAAAAAAGCGGACGTAACATCACTTACCAGGAGTCACCTCCCTTCCCATGTTTTGGTGGGAAACGGCGCCATCTGTCTCCCATGCTATTCACTCTCTCCTGATTCGCCCGAGTGGGCGGTTTTGACACACGTCACAACATGGTTCATCTAGGATTGAGGTGGGATTTCATAGCTAAGAATCAACTGCCAGGTCAACCGGACAGACAATTCCACATCCCAGCATTATCTACAATCCTTGGTCCACAGGATATACAAGACTTATCTTTATGTCCAGTCAGAGCGCTGAAAATATATCTACAAAAGTCTAAAACCAGGAGACGAAAATTCAAACGCCTTTTCATCCCCATATCGTCGGAGACACCCACAGAGATCTCACGTACTACGATATCAGTTTGGATGAGAGAAATCATACTACGAGCCTCATGAGTGGCCCTCCCAACCTCCCCTCAGTCACTCTGGATTTCCCCAGGGGGGTGGGGTTGCCTAGTGGTTAAAGTGTTGGCTCGTCACGCCGAAGACCCGGGTTTGATTCCCCACATGGGCACACTGTGTTGAGCCCATTTCTGGTGTCCCCCGCCGTGATATTGCTGGAATATTGCTAAAAGCCTCGTAAAACTAAACTCGGTCTGGATTTCCCAGTAAATCAGTGTGTCGGGCTGTAAAATACGGAGAGAGTGAAGAGCATCGGAGACAGGTGGCGCCGTTTCCCGCCAAAACCTGGGAAGGGAGGTGACTCCTGGTAAGTGATTTTACGTCCGCTTTTTTGAAGGGAGCTTCAAATGGAGATTCAAGTGTTCCACTAGCATTCGGAAGGAAAGGGAGACAAGCAATAAGCATGAGTCAGGATAAGTATAAAATATCAATTTTATTCAGAAAATTACATATTTTAAAAAAAAAAAAAAAAAATTTGAGCTGTTCAATATTGTTACAATTATTTTGTTTTTTTCAAAAACAGCATGAAATCCTAGTACGAAAACGAACAAAAGCCATTCGTACGCTGATAGGAACATCTGCTAGAGATTCCTTTGGCGAACTGTTGCAATTTTGGGAAATTGGATAGCTCATGGATCTAAGGCAACCAGTTGCGTTTGTGTGAAAGTAGGATCCGCTGGAAAGAGAGTTGTTCGCTGGTCAGTTAGCGGTTCATCTGATGTGGTGGATGAAAATGAAAATGGCAAACCTTGAACTTTCCCACTCTCTGCAATCTTAATGAGTATAACGTTCCTTGTTTTCAAAAAGTCCTTCCAAAGCTCATACACTGCATTTTTCTTTCTCAGACATAGACAAAGGTGTGGCTGAGGTTCTGTTCGGCCTTCGGAAGCCTGGAGCGAGTGCTCTGTTCAAGCCCAACCCATCATCCAGCAGCACCGTAACAGCCCGAGACCTCGTCATTGCTGTCAGCAACGGCGACACGGAAACAGTGAAAACATTGTCAAGTCTATTGGTGACAAGGTACCTGTGCCGGCTTAACGAGATTAGCATTGTTCATTCAGGTTTTTACGACATAAGACAAAATTACTGCCCGTACATTGACAGGATCTGCTGATTGTGGGTTTGAATTCCTGATTCGTCCCAATCATGATTCTTGGTTCTTGGCACGTCCTCTACAAGGGTCCTTTGATGACATGTAATAGCTGTGCATGGTTCAAAGCAGCGTCATGGGCATGTCACTCACAGAATTTTAAGAATAACACTGAACCACCAAGGGACGGTGCAATATGTTTAGCCCTGTGTCCCATACTGGCTATTTGCCATCACAAACAAACAAACTCGCGTTACAAACTCTACATTTGTGATAAGCGTCCATTGCTTAAATGCAGTTAAATACTGCCATACTGGTATGTATTGCACCTTTACCAGGTAAGCTGATCCAAAATTGTGTTAAACGTTGCGTTCATAATTCTATCACTTCTACGTTCTTGACAGCACATTAAAAACAATTCACACCTTACAAGTATTGGCTGGCGTAATTCGTACTGAATCTAATCTATTCTTATTAGTAGGTGATTATTATTATAAACCTACTGATCAAATGATCATGATTTATTTATGAATCAGGTGAACGAATCAGTGGATGGTCTGACGGCATTGCAGACGGGGTGTTACAAAGGTCATGCTGACATAGTCAAGCTTCTGATCGGTGCTAAGGCTGATCTGAACAAGGCCGACGATGAGGGAGACACACCTCTGCACTTTGCTGTGTCAGGGTGAGTAGGGGGATAGAGTAGTGGTTAACGCACTGCTTTTATCAGAATACCACTTGTGATTAAATCACAATGTGTCAGAATTTACCACTAAAGGAGGGACGGTGGGGTAGCCCAGTGGTTAATGCATTCGCCCGTCACGCCGAAGACCCGAGTTGAATGGGTACATTGTATATGGGTACAACGTGTGACGCCAATTATTTCTGGTGTCCCTGCCTTGACATTGCATGAATATCTTCGTGAAACCATATTCAATCACTCCCTCACTCACTCAGAATGAGTATCCTGTGACGCTTAAAAATGTCACCCACGTGACTCTAACTTGTCACTCTTTTACTTGAGACACCCTCATGACGGTTGTCCTCAGTATGTCTAAGTCTCAATATCCACATTCCTGTTGATGTGACATAGAGACCGGATGGCTAAAGAAATATGTCAGGTTTATATTGAGACAATGCTGGTCATGTTAACAGAGAGCAGCCCAATATGGTAGGGATACTGCTGGACGCCAAGGTACGGGGCAACACGAAGAACAACAAGGGACTGACACCATTACATCTGGCAGTGGCCAAGAAGGACCCCAGCACCCGGTGTCTGAAGACACTCATACAGTACAAATGTGATCCTAACACACAGGTAGGCGCAGCTTTGTAATAGTTTTGAGAGTCAGTAAGTGTTAGCCAATACATAAAAATGAGTTTATATAATTGTATAACAAGCATTAAAATTCACAAATGTATCTATTCTTTAGGATGAGGAGGGAGATACGCCCCTTCACGATGCACTCAGAACCCATAACCAGCATCTTCTTGATCCCTTCCTGGAGTGTGCCCAGCTGAATCTGAGACTCGCCAATTCTAAAGGCAGCAACCCTTTCCATGAAGCATGTGTGTCGCTCTCTGGGGCAACAGAGTAAGTTAACCAACTGAAGCTTTCTCCATTGACAGATCACTGAATCATTGAAAATGATGCCGAAGCGAGTTTTGTGTATTGTCAGTTGATAGATCATTTGACAGATTGACAATTGTGCCTTGATATATTAGCAGAGCCTGTTTTACTGGTACCGTACGATAGATAATTTAATCATTGGAACTTGTTTTGAAATGATTTGGGAACCTAACTGGGTAAACCGCCCCAAAACGATCTTTATCTTTGGAAATAACTGTCATGTTTTGTGTTGTTAAAGAGTATGTATGTTACGGTTACTAATTTGCCGTGAGAAAAGGTTTAAGAGTCCCCTTTGAACCAGCAAAATAGAACTCAGACAAGTTTAAATTATTCAATAATATATTGAACAAACAATGAGCAAGCTACAATGAATGAGAATACAGATATCTAGTACAATGCAATTGAGTCACAAATCTAAACTATTGGGTCACAAATATAAAATGTTAACTCACCAGAGTCTTGACATTCACAATGAGAACAAATATATCGATTGAAGGTTGTTTACAACGACAGCAGGTGAATAGAAAAGCACCTTGAACAACTTGATGATGGCAGACAGATGTGTATAAATCCATCCCAGTCGTGTGTAAAGTCCCGTCGCACAACTCAACAACCAGCTTTTAAATAGCTCTTACACAGTTCTCGAGCATTCTAGCAAAGCTAGGCTCCATCATTATTCTCGCAGAACGTTATGGGAGTTTCTCGAACACACGATGTGACAAGACCCGGAAGTCAAAACAAAATAAAGCCAACCAAGGGAGGCAACTCTGAAGCACTTAAAAAAGGCTTGCCGCTACAAATACTATTGCCATTGAACATATATGATGCGAGATGCGATCCAAAACACACACTCAAAACATTGTGACCCATAATAACTATCACTTAATCAATGTGATATTACAAATTACAAATTATGAAGAGAAACCTCTCATAACACGTTTAACTGGTAAACGATCTACATAACCCGGAAACCTTGCAAAGAAATTCCACTAAGTCCAATTACTGATTGATACAGCTCCTTAATTTTACAGATTTCCACAAGCACTGATAAAGAGAGATCCGAAGATTGTCAACGTCCCCATGAACAACGCCCTCACCCCGATACATATCGCAGCCTTCCGGAGTTTTGTGGCCCTGGCAGGTGTCCTGGTGAAGGTAAGGTTAATCGAAAGGCTTAAAAGACAAATCTACTTCTACGTTTTTCCAAACCTCTGCGGCAATGAGAGATACATGTCTGTTTCTAACGATACGGCATTATTCGCAAGTTCTTTAAGTTCCAAAAGATGACCCGCTGTGTTGATTTTGTAACATCATCCCTAGGCTGGCTGCAATGTCAATGCTCGGGACGACAACGGCAAGACAGCTCTTCATATGGCTGTACAAAGATGTAATCTTCAGATTGTGCAACTGCTCCTTGAATCCGGTGAGTGAAGCTTACATGTGAACATACAGTCTGTTATACAAGTCTGTAATGTGCAGAATGCCAAGCTGTTCATGGAATCTGGTAAGATCCACATGCAGGCAGTATGCTATACACGTCTGTAAATTGCCCCTGGAACATTATGAGTATAGCGATATACGAGTCCGTAAATTGCAGAATGTCCAACTAAACGTGGAATATGAAGAGTATAGCTTTTATGCAGAATGACAAAAAAAGTTTGTAAATTGCAGAATGTCCATATGCCCTGGAATATGATGAGTATTGTTTGTATGCAGTATGATTTACAAGTCTGTGAATTACAGAATGCCCAACTGCTCCTAGAATATATAAAGTAGGGCTTACATGCAGTATGATATACAAAACTGTACAACATTTACTGATCTGCAGGGGCGGAGATCAACGTCCAAGACCAGGAAGGAAATTCTCCTCTACACGCCACCCACATGGACAGCACGCTGCCCAGAGCTGTGAGTCTTTCGTGTATATAGGGCGAGATAAATTGCGTCAAACATCTATTTGTGAGCTGTCGTCACTATCTATAGAAATATCCTAGTCTGTGTTGAACGTTTTCGATAATACTGTCTGCACGGTCTATAGGAAGGTCCAAAAGACGCGGATTTGTCCCTGGAAATCCATTGTCATCTTGTAGAACGAGGAGGGGACATCAGATTGACGAACAAAGCCGGGAAGACACCTCTAGATTTCGTGAAGAACAAGGAAGTGCGAGTAATGTTGGAGAGGTAGGACAGATCCCATAGATCAGACAAAGTTCCAAAACCTTTAACAGAAACGATGCAGCAACAGCACTCTATCACTGACAGTAAGAAACAGATAATCCGTGGCAGCCATATTGACAAATCAGTGACCTTTCTGATGCCATTTCATTTTCATATTTAAGAAACCCTAACCATTTGCCATTAGGTATATGTGTAGTTATCAGTGTTCTGTTCCTTACTAAGTATAGTTTGGGCTTTGGGGTAGCCTAGTGGTTAATGCGTTCACTCGTCACGCTGGAAACCCGGGTTCGATTCCCCACATGGGTACAATGTGTGAAGCCCCTTTCTGGTGTCCCCCGCCGTAATATTGCTGGAATATTGCTAAAAGCGGTCTTAAACCATACTCACTCACTCATTCTTAGTATGGTTAAATCGTTAGAAATCACTTACGATTGTTCTGCAGAATGCTCAAGCTGTGAACAATTTGCAGTTCAATGTCATACTGAAAAGGAGTTCCTTTTTCAAATTAAAATGTAAAACGATACATATACCACGTAATTCGTTATTATGATAAGAGGCTGTTGTACCTGTACCTACACTACCGCATCAGTTATATGTAAGTAAAAATATGATTGATAATGTCAATATGACTTTTCAGAATTGCAAAACGACCCTTGCCCTCGTCAGTGAGCCAATCAAAGCGTCTACCAGCACACTGGGAAACCATAGGACAGGATGGGTTCAAGAAGGTGGAGCTGAGTGAGTCCAACCCGGTGACGGCCTTTGAATACAGACATGTTGAGTCAAAGGTGGAAGAAACGCTGTCCAATAAGAGCATCGTGTCCATCTACCGTATCCAGAATGTCGCATTGTGGGAACAGTATACTGTGTAAGTATATACGATGTGTATTTGTGACTATCATCAAAAGTTGTAATCATATTGTATGCTTGGCGGGGAACTGTTACAGTTGAATAGGTTCGCACGAGACCTTGACTGTTCTGGAGGTAAAGTTGTACAGCAGGGAGACTATTCCATACTCTCCCAGAGCCATTTTGTTATTTGTATACGTATTCACTTTGAGAAAAGACTTGCAGACTTTCATGGGCACAGTCTCAATAATACTACAGGATGCTGATCACAATAACTCAGATCCATAACATCTAAAGTCTTGCGAGGGGTGTCCCGGAGGTTTCCAGCCTGACCATGAAATATACGTTATGTATGAAACTCTTTCTACCTATTTGTCAACAAAGTTACCCTTGACTTCTATAACTTTTGATCCAACGTTTCTCCGACATTTGTAACCCATCCAAAAACCACAGAAAACCCTACAAAGTCCCCCAAGGTAGTAATAACGTGCTCATTCGTCTCAAATTTCATACAGTTTTACGCCAGGACGCAAGTTGTTTATGTTTATGTAAATTAGAATATACAGAAAGTTTATTTAAACTTATATGTCCCTGCATGATACCTGAGTGAGCGAGTTTAGTTTTACGCCGCACAAATTCCAGCTGTGTAGCGGCGGTCTGTAAATAATCCAGTGTGGACCAGATATTCTAGTGATCAACAGCATGAACATTAATCTACGCAATTTGGATACGATAACATGTGTGAACCAAGTCAGAGACCACCCGATCCCGTTAGTCGCCTCACAGCATTGGTTACTGAAGATCAATTCTAACCGGATCTCCACGTGTGCATGGTGCCTGACATACGCCATCCCATGTGTATAGATGCATGTTACAACGTGAGGATATTGCGTAAATGCGCACGATTCATCCATTTTTAAAAAACAACTTGCGCACTGACATATGTATGTCAGAATGCTTTCTTGTAGACGTGGTATCAATGGATGGTTAACACCTTATTCTCATCACACACGTCCTCCTAAATAGGAGACTTTACGACCTTTGTTGTTTTCAGCGCAAAGGTCAACATGGAACGTGAATACGGTCGGGGTCTTGCCAACGAAAAGCAACTCTTTCACGGAACCACACCAGACTCGGCTGATCTCATCCCGCACCAAAACATCGACTTCCGGTTAGCCGGAAGTAGAGTAGGCGCCTTCTATGGCCAAGGAGCGTACTTTGCTGTGGATGCCAAGCACTCGGATGGTTATGCTAAAGAAGACGCACGGCGTCACAGGTTCATGTTTTTGGCTAAAGTTCTGGTGGGGAAGTCGAGGCAAGGGAACCCAGAGTTAAAACGTCCCCCAGTGTTGAATGCCAGCAACAAAACTAAACTCGCTGACTCAGCATGTGATAAGGAAACAGACCCGAGAATCTACGTGATTTTCAGCGAAGGTCAAATATACCCCGAGTATCTGATTGAATATCGTTAAATCTCAATTTATCGTGTGTGTATTTACCGGGGGGCGGAGGTTGTGCCAGGAATGCAGACAGCAAGCCTTCAATATGTCCCGCTCTTATTGGCAGGATTCATTTTGTCTTTCGATAAAATCCTTATCAATTGACTCTCTACGTAAGTAACATATTTCTTTTAATCTTAGACATGTTGTATCTTAAATGTTCTCCCTGACTTTTTAAAGGCAAATAATATTTGAACGGTCTGTGAGCGCTACGTTTCAAGAGGTGTTTCATCATTGCAAGATGGCGTAGGGAGTAAATGATTTGGGCAGTCATACGTAATATTGCAGGATCTATTTTAGTTCGAAAATGCTCATTTTATATTGTAAAAGTCTTTGCGAAACGCTGAAAATGTGAATGCTACAGATCAACGTACATTATTAACATTGAATTTTATAAATAATTAACGCTTAATACATGTTTTTAATTCACCATAACATGCTCCCTACACTAATATATTAGACTGTGGTAAGCCCATTTTGGTTGTCCCTCACCGTGATATTGTGAAAAGCGGTCTAAATCCGAAATCACTCACTCACTCTTCTTGAACCTGCGAATTGTGACCAACAGCGTACAGACAAAGGACCACCATCGGCTGGTTCCTTTCAGGAATGCGCCAGTGAAGAATCAAGCAACTTCTTTTTATATATAAGCATATTATTCTAGTTTAACTACACCTGTTGTAATTGATGTGAGGAAAAGTTACATTTGAAACCTATTAACCACTAGTTGTTTGTAAGGGAACTTGTTGATATTCTACTCACAATGTCACCTGACATTTGTATTTCATACATTCTCTAGGCGTTGGGAATTGAGAACTAATGAAATAAAAACTATGATAATTCACGTAACATAACATTTGATATATTTGTTTTCATCGTACAGTGTTAGAATTATTGCAACAATATCTGATGGTTTTTATGGGCGTTTGTCTATGGAACAAAATAAGAAGTATTATAATTGTTCATAACTCTTTTTACAATACGCTCAGTACTGAAAATAATGTTTGAGTTTGTTGTCAGTAGAGTGATCAACGATTTGTGGGAAAAGTAATCTAAAGGACAAGTCACGGGCGAGCAAGACGTCCAGCGTGTTACAATTCACTATGCTAAGTTCCGTCCCTTATTATTCGAGTGAGTGAGTATAGTTTTACGCCGCTTTCAGCAATATTCCAGCAACATCACGGCGAGGGACACCAGAAATGGCCTTCACACGGAGTACCCATGTGGGGAATCGAACCCGGGTCTTCGGCGTGAGGAGCGAACGCTTTAACCACTAGGCTACCCCACCGCCCCTTGTTGTCAGTAGAAGGAGTAGGACATATGCAATGTATAATTGATGACTTTTTAATTTCCAATTAACTCATATCTCTGACTGTGTAAAAGTATCTCATGCGCATGCACATCCTAAGAAAATCAGTCTTAACCGAGATTTGATGACATATTTCTGTCTATTGGAAACTACGAATGTCAGTCATACTTTGTGTTGAATCCTACAAGTTGTTTTGTTTCGGATTCATAGATAATGTATCAAGGAAAACATTAAAATAGTAGTTTGTTTAACGAAATATCAATGCTACAAACATGTTTCTATTATGTACCTTGATTTAAACAACTGCTCCAATAAAATATGGATGTACTCTGTCGTTCTTGTGAGTTTTAATTGTTCAATAGCACGTGTGAGTTCCTTGATCAACGGAAGACCTTACTTACTTACTCAATCTTTTTCGTGCTTTTAGCACTTAAGGCTGTTACTAGAGTTTTCCAATGCTGTATATCCTGGGCCCATTGCTGCACCTGTCCCCAGGTCCACCCTGCGACCTTCATCTCTGCCTCCACAGATCTTGCCTCCATGTCTCCTTTCAACGTGGAGAGCCCACGCAAACTAAAGGCGCAAGGCACAGCTGTGCTGCCCGTATCAACAACACTCCCATCGAATGACCATTTGCGGTTTGAATGCACAATGTCATTTAGAAAGTGGATAAATTCAACATTTGTTATATCTAGGGGTACAGGTTCTCAGAAAAGAACCGATTCTACTACTTTTGTTGGGTTGAGTCGAACCCACACTCTACTGAGAAGGTGTAATCCGAAATATAAGTCGTGTTTCAACTGACCGCTTTCTAAATGACATTGTGTATTCATAGTTTCAGCCGTGGAAGCCGTGCCTGTATGTGTTCTGCTCCGTGTCCAAAGTCAGACACCTAATCGCCGGCACACAAAGTCTGCCATCTAACCCACTCAGTCACAGCGGCTTCCAAGTTGCATTTGTGGGTTCATTTAGTTTTAGCTCTTCATGCATTTAGTATTTCATCCGTGGGTGACCAAACACATGTGGTCAGATGGTCAGTTAACTTGTTTACATGTTCATGGACAGCATGAGGTGTTTCGATGAAGAGCCAACCAAGTACGCGACTGGAATCATCTCCTTTTCATAGTGATCAATGAACAACTGTTTGTGGTACAGAAGGGGAGTACGTTTACTTTCTGAATGTCAATTGTGTGTGTGGAGGGTGCTTCTAGTTTGACAGGACATGATAGCTCGCGAAAAGAAAACTACTACTACTTACGTACGGATTCCATTTCACACATGAGTGTGGTGAAGGCAATTTCCAGTCTCTGCGATGAGACTGATGTAATATTGCTTTAAAAGGCGTAAAACCATACACACTAAAGCCGGGTTTCCATGTGCGCGCAGTGTGTGATGCGTAATGCGTAATGCGTAGTGAGTAATGCGTATACAACACTTTATACTAAAAAAGTATAGCGGTTTCCATGCACGCGTAAAACGCTTACGCTCAAAAAGTGTCCGAATAGGCATCACGCAGCTATATGGAGACCGGTAGTAGGAATTCTCAGCGGGTTTTCCCAATGTCATGTGGTTTTAATTGCACACACAAGTTGTAAACTGCTAAGGAATTCGGAGGCCAATACACTTCTTGAACAACTAGTTGAACTCGTCAGATGCAATCTAGCCATCCAGGAAGGACCTCAAGGATATAACGAACATAAGCAATATTTGGAACGGAATTACAAGGAAACTTCAAACGATGACAAAGAAAGGACTGTTAAGTGCAAAATTCCGTTTTGAATATGCGTTAATAAGAAAGTTGATTAAGTCTCATCACATAGCTTTTTTACACGTACACATGGACTGGGACACTACGCACACGTAATGCGGACTACGCATCACGCAATTACGAAGACAATACGCACACATGGAAACCTAGCTTAAGACTTGATGTCCGATGTGATGTCCGACACAACCGAGAAGAAAAACAAGAAAGCGTGTGAAGGAGCTGTTAGGCTGTTGACCATCACAATAACGAACCTATATTACCCTGTACAGATGCCAGTAACTATCCAACTGCACAAACATAGGTTCACACGGGTTTTAGCTGTTCCGGAAAGCCTCTTTCGATGTTATTATTGTGCGTCCAACAGCTGCTAACCTGGAAGCACACTACTTAGATCACCATCATACATGACAGTACTTGATCATGGCGTATTTATCAATGTTCTTTGTGACTGTCTCATCTTTGATGTTGCAGTGCAGATGCAACAAGCCATTCGCCATAGATTATGATGTAACAACAGGCCACATCTACTGGACTGATATCATGATGTATCATATTAGGAGGGCGACTAGTGCTGGCTTGGACGATGTGGTGGTTGCCTCTTTCAATTCGTGTAAGTACATGACGAGTGAGTGAGTGAGTGAGTGAGTGAGGTCAATATAGACATTATCATTTTCTATCACGGCGTGCCAGCTTGATGTTGGAGGAAAACCTGGAGTGGTGCAGGTTTTTCTTGGCTAGAATTGCCCAGAACAACTGTGTTGGACGTAATGGATCGTGTGGTCACTCTCGTGTGGTGACTGAATTAATTGTACCCTAACCTCGGTACTGGTTGTTCATAATATCACTCTCTGGATTGTGTGGTCTAGATTGGATTTAGAAAACTGCTCAAAACAAAAGTCAAACCTGCCTCAGACATGAAGCAAGTTTGTACTGCAAGTACTCGAGTTAAGATTCACAATGTACTTACTATGTGTGAAGCCCATTTCTGATGTCCCCCGCGGTGATCTTGCTGGCATTTTGCTGAAAGCGCCGTAAAACTAAACTCACTCACTCATTTTCCTCCAACAGCGTCTTTACTTGGAGGCCTGACACTAGACGGCACCTCACGGAAACTGTTCTACACTGATGAAGGTAGTAAAATCATCGGCCTGATGGACATGGACAGTCTGGAGTCTACAGTGATAGTATACACAGACATGGAACAACCACGGGGGATCGTAGCAGATACAGTATTTAAGTATGTCATCTAAAATTCATCACCACGTTTGAGAGTGAGTGAGTGACTAAGTGAGTGACTGAATGAGTATGGTTTTACGCCGCTTTTAGCAATATTCCAGCAATATCACGGCAGGGGACATCGGAAATGGGCTTGACACGTTGTACTCATGTGGGGAATCGAACCGGGTCTTCGGCGTGACGAACCAAAGGTTTTACCACTAGGCTACACCACCACTCTTTAGAATTAATAGCTTGATGCTCATGGTGTCGATCACTGGTCCAGACTCGTGTCATCGTACCCCAGTAGCGTAGATTGGTGTTCATAATGTCATTCACTGGTTTGTCTGACCCAGACTCGTGTCGTCGTGCACAAGTAGCGTAGATTGAGGTTCATGAATTCAGTCACGTGTTTGTCTGACCCAAACTCGTGTCATCGTATCCCAGTAGCGTAGATTGATGCTCATGATGTCAGTCCCTGGTTTGTCTGATCCAGACTCGTGTCATCGTACCTCAGTAGCGTAGATTGATGCTCATGATATAAACCACCGGTCCAGGGCAATTTATAGACCATCGTCACATAGCTGCAATATCGCCCAAGGAAGGTAAACAAGAATCACGAAAAACGCATACAGTTAGCATTACAAAAATACGGTGTGTGGGAACCTGGTCATATTTAACAATCTCTGCTTATATACAGAAACATCTACTGAACGAACCTGGGCAAGGAGGAAAAGATCGAGACATGTGACTATAGCGGTGGAAGTCGGAAGTCAGTTGTAACATCAGGACTATCTGTACCAAGCGGAATAGCCATAGATGAGAAAGGTAGGTGCCATCAATGTAGACAAACCAAGGCGCATTATAACACACAACATCAAGTTCAGGTTTAAAACACTGAAATTCCTCGTAGTTGTCAAGTGGGGTCCTAATGGGCTCTATATATATTTTTCCACACAAGGAACAATGAGAAATACACTCAACAAGCAGCTAAATATGATATAGACTCAAGTAGTTTTACAGTGGCCGCTTCCCCTTCCTTGTCCACGACTCGCGTGATATAGCGTCAGTCTAGTTAGTATGCGCGTCGTGAAGGAGCTCTGGTGGCGCAGCGATGCGAGTATGGGGTTGCGTTCCAGGATCCGCTTGTCATGAGTTCGAATGCAAAACATCCATTATGTAACATCGACAGGGTCACACAAAATTTCACGACAAAGGTTAGTTGGTCGGTTGTTCAACGCCGCACTTAGCCCAATTCCTGTTATATGGCAGCCGTCTGAAAATAATCGAATATTTTCAAGACAAGCCAATGATCAACATCATGAGCATCGATCTACGCAATTGGGATATGATAACATGTCAACCAAGTCAGCGAGTCTGACCACCCGATCCCGTTAGTCACGTATTACGACAAGTATGGGTTGGTCAATCACCTTAGTCTGTGCGTAGTGTAGGAGGTCTGGTGGCAAAGCGATGCGAGGCATGCTAGATGTGTGGAGTTGTGTTCCAGGATCCGCTTGTCGTGGGTTCGAATACAAAATGTCCAAGTTACC